ACGGGTGAAATGTCCCTTTAAGGCTGCAAGATATGGAAAAAAATCATCATATTGCCATTCTTTAGACAGATTGTTGTAATAAGTGAGAATGATCATTTTTGCATCACAATTTTTATTTTCACTGAAAACTATTATTTTTGGGATCTGTACCAAACAAACATGTTTTCTTAAATCTGGAGAACAAGATTTGTAGGCCAGGGCATACCTGCTGTACAACGGTACATCATTATAATGCTGCTGTCACACATTGTACCATTATCAAAAAATTTGGATATTGCAGTTGGCCATATTGCGATTTTGATAATATTCCTATTAATTGTGGAGCCCTACTAATATTGCAGATTATATTCCTTAACACAAACTACTGTGATGCCCCTGTAAAATAATTAGATATGCAGCACAAAGTTTGAGATCACACTGTATGTTCTCCACTAAATTTTCTTTTTTTAACTTTCAGTCATTGTCTTGACTTCATTCAGTATAAGTGTTAATCTATATTTGATGCCTCTGTTGCGTGAATCACTGCATTTGTCCTTTTTAATTATGCCATTTCCTGAATCCATAATTTATGTTTTACTTATGTCACATACTGTGTTTTTATGTGAATTTAACAACAGTGTCTGTACCTCTTTGGCTTTCCGGTGTCTGTCCTTGCTGTCTCTGTCCTTGTCTTTGCCCTCGTCTCCCGGGTGGCAAGAGTAGGACACTGTCCTCCAGTCCCGCGGAGAGTTTGTGATGCTGGAGACCTTTGACTCAGTGGCGCTGTTCTCCTCGTTAAGTGAGCGGGACGACCTCCTGGTGAACATGCTCTTCTTCAGAGCTTTTACCCTGAGGCTATCGCTGTTACTCCCATCTGAGCAGCACCACTCCCCAGAGGAGCCATTGTCCATTTTGACATTGTGGCCGGTGGTGTGGCACTGGAAAACACGAGGCGAGAGGGTGGTGTCGGGATGAGGGTGGGGTTGTGGCTTGTCCGGGGTGGCATTGGATCCGGACGCAGACGCCGTCTCCCCGTGTCTCCCATTGACGTCAGGCTCCTGGATCTTCTCATCCAGCTTGTTGAGTTTGGAGAGCACCTGGGAGATCTCACTCCGAACCCCTGACAGAGACTCTAACTTCTTCTCGATCTCACCAATCCTCATCACCAGCTTGCAGACGCTTGATTTGAGCTCATCGTCTGTGTTTTCCAGCGAATGGAAGAGGCGGTCCAGCTTGGACTTGGCCAGTTTGACTGTGTTTCGCTCAGGGGAGCTGTCTCCTTCAGACTTTAGCGTTACCTGAGAGAGAGACCCATTGCTGTTGTAGCATGATGGCTGGACAACGCCCAGAGAATCGCAAACACTCATATCATCCAGAAAACGAAAAATGTCACTTATGTCATCACTAATGATCTCAGAGTCCTCATCAGAGTGTTTGAAGGTGTGTCGTTCTCTGTCGCTGTACTTAGCTAGGTATTCCTTCGCCTTCTTCTGCTCAGCCTGCTCTGTTTGCGTCCCAACACTAGAAGAGCTGTCAACTCCCTGAAATGATGGACTGTTCATATTTTTGTCCCTAAACCTTTTGGCTACTTCTCTTTTGTCCAAACCCACAGGCCCACTTGCCATCAGTGCTACATCCTTGGTTTTTATTCCGTTTGCTTTTTTTGCAAAGCCTGATGGAGAAGCTACTACCTTTTCCTTTGGGCTCTGAAAATGCTGCTCGTTGTCAGTGCTGATGATGCTGATATTGCGGTGGTGGTTTTCTTTGAGCGGTTTGCTGTTCAGAAATGACCTCTCAAAGTCTGGAGGCCCCTCCTCTGTGTTGAGACTGAGGCTCTTCACTGGCCATGACGGCTGCTTTCCTGTTTTGTGACTGTGCTTCCTGCTGCTGACGCACTCGGACACCGTGGTCGGGCCAAAGTACGTGGACGCCTGTAAGTCGTCTAGGCTCTCGTGCTTCACCCTCCGTCTATCCTGAAGAGGGGAGTTGAGTGGCGGCTCAAAGTAGGGGTTGCTGTAGGGCAGTTCAAAGCTGTGGTTGAAGAAGGTGGCTGGCTTGTGCAGTTCCCTCCTGTGGTAGGCATCAGCTGCTTTGCTGCCCTGTTTGCACTCAGTGGTGATGACCTACAAAAGTAACCCAGACAAGGACCGAATTGGCTTTTAAAACACACTAACACAGCAAACACAGTACAGAAGAGCGTGGCTGTGGAGGGCTGTGGAACCCTCCAGGGGTTATATGTTGGAAACAAAATGCAAACTGATTACTAAACTGAGCAAAAGAATTGATACACTGTAAGAGGAATACATATTTGAAGGAGCACTCAGTCGAGTTGTGTTCATTGGACTACCATTATGGACCTCTGACTTTCAGAATAAAAGGGGTGTGTAAGATTATGCAATTTGGTATTTATACTCATTAATCAAAAGCAGGAATTAATGATCGGTGACAGAATAGTGTATACTGTACGTAATACGCCGACCAGCAGCCATTAAGAGCTGTGTATAAATTAGACACTGTGAGAGTCCTACTAAATTGGTAATGCATCATTTATATGCAAGAATACAATACAGGTTAGGGGATGCATTTTGAGATATAACTTTTTCTATGCTGCCACCAGTCTGTTAGGTAAAGGCTATGAAACACTGCATTGTTTATTTTTCTGCAGTAGTGGAAAGTAAAGTAGTTAATTTACTCAACTGTTGTACTTAAGTACTTTTTCAAGTACTTGACTTTTCTATGTTATGCTGTTTTATACTTCTACTTCAGTACATCTACAGGGACATTTTGTACTACTACTATACTCCACCACGTTTATCAAATGGCTGTAGAAGCTAGTTAATTTGAAAATCAGTATTTACTTACAATACACAAATGCTTACATCTTAACACATCAATACTAATATTCCAACTGTCATAATTTTAATATAACACTATGAATGGGGTTGTACAGCATAATGAAATCATTTGATACTTAAAGTACAATTACATCACATCACAGTGTTTTACAGAATGATGATTAGGCATTTTTGTTCTGAATGCCAGATGTACATTCCTGAAGCCAATATTTTCTCTTACCTGAGCTCTCACTTTAGCACGAATTACTAAACTGAGCACACTGCACCATATGTCACCTGGCAGTCGCTAAACAGGACACTAATCCCAGCTGTACTCAATTTGCTCCATCTAAATTGCATATCAACGCATATATCAGTTAACAAATTGATTTAAAATGTAACCATTTAAGAGTATTTAGCTTATTGTGTTTTATATCTGTTGCACTTAACTTTACATTGATATATTGATGTTCAAGATTTCCTAGAATCCTCATTATTATGTTAAACAATTAGACTTTTTCATGACCATTCATGTCTTGAAGAAAATGAGTTCATACATTTCACTTTATTATGTATTCAAATGAATTGAAAAAGTATCAGAGGTACACTGTACATGTCTAATTCCTGTCAACTGGTAGTGCTGAAAATAGTCAATTAAAACTAATCAATGACTATTTTGATCATCAATTAAGTATTAAGTCACTTATAAAGCAGACATATCAAATATTAGTTGGCCAAAGTTTTGCTTACATGCTTTACATATGGCTTTTTTTGTTATTTTGTCAATTTAATAAGTTTTAGAGTATCTCTCTTTTTTTTTTTTTGTCATTTGAAAAATTGGGAATGTTACTTTTCAACCCAATATATTTTTCAGTGTTCACATCCTGAAAACAGCAGAGGTACAATAACACTGAATCAAAGTAGCCCTCCCTCTCTTACTTCTTAGCAGCATCCTGAAAACACAAACCTGTGGTGAGAAGGCGACGAAGTTGTGGAAGTCCTCCTTGAAGATGTTCCTCTTCTGCATGCAGGGGTGAACAGTGAAGGGCTCTGTATGGCCGATGTGCCGCAGGGACTCCTGGTCGGTGGTGGACTCGCTGTCGATGTCCATGGGAAAGTAGGTACTCTGCATTTCGCAAGGTGGAGAGGGCGGGCTGCCGCTGGAGTACTGGGGCAGATGATGCAGTTTGTCCAGTGAGGCTGTCCTACATTTCAGGTCTTTGCTGACACCCAGAAGGAAGTTGGGGTCTGAGGTGGGAATAAACTGCTGGCAGTTGTTGCACTCTGATGATTTAGGAACGGGTGGAGTGCTCTGAGCCGCAGGGTGCTGCTGGGTGCGGTGGTGATGGTGGTGGTGGTGATGGTGCCCATCCCTGGGGTGATCCATGTGCTCATAACCAACACCCATGTCACAGTCCTGAAACTTATAGGCATCATTGTCAGACCTGCACAGTTCCAGTGACTGGTTCTTGTGGAACTTGCCTCTGTGCACTATGGGGAGCTTGTCTTTGGCTATGCCTCCATTCATCTGGATTAAGTTGAACATGGTGACGATGTCTGCCGCCACTATGAGCTTCTTGGACTGCGGGTCCTCCATGGAGCAGCGCATCTTCTCTTTGAAGAGGGTTGCCGGGAAGGCGGGGTCCAGGCAGGCCGTGTAGAAGAGCAAGCTGCGGAGCTTGGCCAGGTGCACCAGGTCGAAGCGAGCGCACAGGGACTTGCACAGGTCCTGGTAGGACATGGTGTTGTGCTTGGTGTCCAGCTCCTCCAGGATCCGCGCCAGGAACAGGGAGTACTCTGGGAGGGGGTCCATAGCTGCTCGGTGGCTGGAGCAGGCCTACAGAGAGGGTCTGACCTCAGGAGAAGCTTGGCATCTGGAAACAACACATCTGAATGTTCATTCAAGACTAATGTGTTGGTTTTTTTTGCCCTGACAGACAAATAAAAATCAGAGATGCTCACTTTCAAAGAGCAGGAGGAGGCAGTCACTGTATATAAAGACAGATCCAAAATCACACATACTTTGCTGATTCTAGCAGTCAAAACGAAAATAATCGGTGTAAACCTATCTAACAGTAATTAGCATAGTCGGACCAGAGTCCACCTGCATTCCGACAGTAGCAGCAGCTGCAGAGGCTGTGATGGAGCAGGGCAGGGCGCGCACACAGGCAGATTCAGTCTGATTTCACTTGTATCTGCATACCGTCGCTCAGCCTGAGTTGATCGGATCAGCTCGGTGCAGCACAGCACAGCACGTCTCCCATCAGAGAGCCAACAACAGGGAAAATAAACTCAGAGTAATCAAGCATCATCTGGCTCCGGATCCGCAGCGCACAGCCCAGCATCCATTATCCAAACTTTAACCCATCCGGTTATCAGTCAGTCTGCATGAGAGGGGGAAAAAAGAAAAAATCTAACCATCCTCACATGCACGCGCACAGGTGAATGCTGATAATAAAACATTTTACTGTCATGGTTGGTTTTGATGTCAAACGCGGATCCATGATCCCGGTGAGTCCCAGCAGGCTGGACCGGCTCCCCTGTCCGGCGTGGTCCTCTCCCTCCCGGACTCCCGCCTGTCACAGCTGTGCAGCTGTGGTGGAGGAGCTGTCCGGGAATTGAAAATACATGCTGGGCTGAAAACCTACCAGTGTCAGACTGAAAAAAATACACACTAACGCTAGCGTTTCCGCTTTCAAAATAAGAGCTTCAGAGGGGCGTTACTGAACGTGTAGATTATTTATTTATTTATTTATTTATTTTTGTCCAACTAGAGATGGAGTGGAGGAAGTATACATAGTTTGTAACCAGTAAACAAATATTCGAAAAATACTGCTTTCAAACTTTTGGGCACAGAAGTAAGCAGACAGTTATGGAAGCTTATTTTATTTCTGATTCATTAACAAGTAAATGTTCTACGTCGTCTAGGTGGAGCTCATTTAAGTACTTTGTATACTGAATGGTGACAAATGGTAGGGTAGTCTCACTGTATCACACCTTTAAAATAGTTTTGCACTTTGTAAAGCACATTAAAGCTGCAGTAGGTCATTTGTACAAAAATAATTTTCTTTGTCATATTAAGTGAAACCTTCACTATACCCTGACAGCACTATATGATACAGATAATCTGTGAAAAAATCAGGTTCCTCTGTCTCCTCCTAGTGCTACTAATGACATTTGCGAAATCCACCAGGGCTGAACAGAAACAACCAATTGGAGCGGAGAATGATAGTTGATTGTTGAGTCTCAGGGGGTCAAATACAGACTTTTTGGGACCCTGAGAATGAGACTCAACAATCAACTATCTTCAAGCCATCAGCCCAAAGTTTCTTTATCTCTTCTTGGCTTTCTAAATCAAATATTCAGTATGAGCTGGTACAGGCTAATGGAAGTTGGTTGAACTGAAACAAAAATACAGGTGAGATACATGCATGTATCCAACATGAGACTAAAATGGAATTCTAAAATTATACATGCCTACATACATACAGTAAATTTGAGAGAAACTAGGAATAAAGAAAACTATAGGGTTTATGATGCCTCTTTACAACAGACAGTACAATGATAATTACATGGGTTGTACTGATAATCACCAAATGTATTACATTGACCATTTCAATGCTCAATCATTTTTGATTCTTTTTACCTTTGTGCTTTTATTGTGAAGGCAACATGTCTTACTTCCGGCCATAGCCTTCTGGATTCTGTGTGATCGATGCAGTTCTTTGTTTCCACTTCGGATGACGTAACTACACCTACCACTGGACAATGTAGAAATATCAATTATCCCTTCATTCTGTTATTTAATATGGTGATGTGCTGTCACAGCTCTGCAGCATGCAGGAGCTGACAAACTGCAGGTTCCATGAACCCTCACCTACTAGTGCAGTGGTTGTGAAGTGGGCTCCACACAGACCTCAAGGGCCATTCAGCGAGTTCAAGAGGACATCAGTAATGTGAGAATACCTGCTGTTTTATTAGCTTCCGTTCACTGTTAAACACACGTATACACTACAACAACATGCATACTCTGATTTCACTGTTGCCTCATTGAAATGAATGTAACTAAATTATATACACACTGTAAGAGACAAAATGCTGTAAAAGCTGTAAGGCTACTTCATTTTGAATGAGGCCATTCTAATATCACCAACATCTTGTGCACCAAGAACTTCCCTGTCTTTGACTCTACATCAGCAGTATAAAACAATGCAATATGGAACATAGAAATGTCAACAACATGTAAAAAGTTTTACTACAAAGTGGGCAAACAGTATATTGACATTTCTTTGGTTCTGCCTGGTTGACTGCTGGCCCACAGGAATGAAGTGCAAATAACCTCTGAGGCCCCTTTCCACCAAATTAGTTAGTTTCTGCTCTTGAACCGGTTCTGTTCACGATTCATGAAACTTTGGTGCTATCTTGCGAACCAGCCCGCGTTTCCATCAGTTTTGAATGGAACCATAGTAACCGGATGCATCCTCAACAGAGGGCACTGCACAATCTATAACAACCTGTAGAATATTACACAGCCCTTTGGTTCCCTAGGAAAAACCTGCTATTTTTTGTCTCCAGCTGGGAGCCATTTATCCAGTTCCGAACTAATTTATTTTCGGTTGAAACGCTCAGAACGGATCATCACTAGGTGCTTGAACTGGAATTGAGCCGGTTCCCTTTTCCACCAATAATTTGGTGGAGAAACACGATCAGTAGTTTTTCAAGTAAGTTGTTCACTTGTACCGGTATCACTGACATTAACTACAGAACTATATATGGATGGAATAAATATACTGACAAAAAAATAGATAAACCCATGTCCATTTTGACCATTTGTCAACGAATTGTTGATGTCTCTCTCCCAGTAAGCAGAGCGAGAGGGATAATGGGAGGCCAGGGAGAGTGATAGTGACTCAGTGATTTCAACATAGCTCTCCGGGCTGTTCTGTGTGCCATGTGAACAGATTTCAGATGCAAATCCTATGTTTTTTCCTAAGGTGAACTGTATCTAACCATGTGTTATCTGATTGATTGAAATGGATCCACTTCTACTGAAAGAAAATTCTAAAGAACTGCTATAGGCTGTAAGTTCATTATTGAAACCCGCCAGTAGTTCGGACAACAATCTTCTCAACAATCTTGACTCAAGGTCCACATACTAGTTTTTTCTGGAGCTTTCTGGAGTCTTCAGCAGTGCATGGGGTTTGCTCAAGAAGTTGATCCAGTTGTCATCTTGTGACATACAGTAAGTCTCAGTCTAGTCTCAAGGTGTGCTTTTTTTCGTCATGCTGGTCATTTCAGGACCGTGACCTTTTCACACTGAATCCAATATGGGCCGCATGTATAAAAATAATGTGAACAGCCAAAACATTGGATCCGAACAATAAATCAGAATTGTGCACTTGTAGTGTGAATGTAGCCAAAAACACTATATACAATACACTATATAGTCTGTTTTTATACATGTTAACAGGCCAAGTTACCTCATCTTGACTGCAGCTCGTGAATCTAAAAGGTTGAGATACACTGCTTTAGAAGAAGAGAAACAGTGGTGCAAGACTTAACTGTCATAGGAAAAATTGTAATGCCTTCTACAGCAAATGAAAAAACACAGTAAAGCTGTTTATCAGCCTTCTGCTTTCTTTTTTTCTTCTTTGGTTGTCAGTTATCAAGAGGTCTTACCTAATATAAGCCTGTCAGAGGACAGACGCCGGAGGTGAGGGAGAGAGGAGAGTGGAGCCTCAAAGGTGGCATGCAGCAGATGAATGTGGAGGGGAACTTTTCACTGAGACTGATTGACAATGTATGGTGACCTTCAATCCGTGAAGTATTTTGGTTAGATTCTGTCTATGTCTTAAATGAAATGAAATGAAACTGACGTTGAGCTCAGTGAGCACTGTTTAACATGAGAACAGGACCAGAGTGGACCTGAGCAGGCTGGCCCCAATAAAGTCAAGTGAACATATGAAGCAATGGCATAAAGTTAGTCAAGATACTGCTGTAGGCCGACTTGGCCTCTTCTTGAATGGTAACCAAGGCTAGTTCTGACAAATTGTTATTTAAGCAATTCAAAAAAGTCCACATGAAACAGAAATCAGAGTGGTATTTGCTTTCACATATTTACGCATTTCCTGTGAAAACAGGCAGAGGGGAAGAGAGTGGGACTCGTCTTGGTAGCCAATAGCACGGTGTGTTATGTCCAGCAGGTGTAGCAGGGACTGGTCGCTCCCAGTGAACAGCACATCCAGATCGGGACTGAATGCAGCATCTGATGCCAACAGGGAATACGATACAGAAGTGGGTTTTTTTGCCAGGTATGGCTCCTGGCATCCCATGGCTAAGTCAGCTAACGTTAGCTGCATAAACTAAATAGCTAACAGCATCTAACATTACTGTTGACGACAGTTAGCAACGAATCCATCTGGAAACAAGGTAAATCCCCTCGGTACCTCTGTCAAACTGTCAACTGTCTGTCAGAGGTCGTGTTCACTGGGAGGCTGCTGAGCCTCGTTCTGTGGCAGCTACAGTAGCAGTTAGCCAAGTTGAATTTTTTTCCCACAAAATATGATCCAGTTTGACCAAAATCACTGATTAAAGTTGTGCTTTTGTACAGTAATCAGTGAGGTCTGGCTCCCAGAAACACTCATAAAGCTATGCTGTTGCTAAGAGTTGAAGAATGATTGACAGGTGAATGAAAATAATTGGTTGAAATCGGTTAGTTCATGCTTTCATGCTTACGTAAGCACATGTCACATTTTGTTTACATAAGACTAAAGAATTGTTTTTTGATATCAAAATACAAAGACATTGAGTTTTTTGTACATTCTTTGGCATACATTGTCAAATAGGGGTACACTATCACTGAGGATGCAATCTTGAGGGGTAAAAAAGTAATTTTTAATTTCACCTGGACTTGTAAATATGACAGTTAGAGAAACAAACATGTAGCAAGCTAACATCCCTCCAAAATATCCATTTAGAATAAGCATGCAAACATAACTTCTAGTTCGTCAGTTTTTGAAAATCACATTTAAGAATCCCTTCAACAAACCATGAGATAGAATTAAAAGCTCTTCAAGCTCTCCACTTTGGCCACTTTGGCAGAATCACTGGTTGGCCCGGTGCAGTCCTTCAGGGCTTGGTGTCCTAACAGAGGGCTCAGTGTCCTAACACAGTTCAAACACATGCAGCTCAGGTGAATTGGAAAATCTGCATTGCCATCTAGGTGTGAGTGTGCTTGTCTGTTTGATAAAGAGGAGATATGTATACTGAGTCTAACCCAGTGCATGCTGGGATAGTTTCTAGTTATACAGCTGTACAGGAGAAGCAGTAATAAAGAACGGATGGATGGTTCCTACAGTGTTGCCAGATTTGACTGACATCAAAAAGTCCAATTAGAGACCTGGTGGAGAGGTGGTACTGTTCTTATGTTAAGATAGTTGAGAGAACCATCTCACCACAAGGTCCCCCTAGTAGGTGTTCTGGAAATTTTGATCATATAACATGATTTTCCTCAGTAGATGGTGTTTGCTCATAGTTTTCATGGA